AAACGTCAGCCTTCCTGCTCCTATGATGCTGCTTGGCCTGCTGTGTTCATCCAGCTCTACACCTTGTTGTCTTAAATACTATATGTATTGGTTGAAGACCCCATCACAACCTCATATCTGTCACAGCATCCTACTTGTATATAGACCTTTGTCTTTTGACATTTCTTCAAATAAATATCTCTCACCTTGCTGAAGAGATAACAAAAATAGTCAAAATACATTCTTTTAACTGTAGGATTCTGCAGATATCATCAAAGGAAAGAAACTGCAGCTAGTCTAAATGCTGAAACACTGTCAATTCTTTGTTCCTCAGCAGCAGAGGAAAATAGTGAAACAAAAATACAAGAAAACTCTTCCACAAGGGCACTTTCTAAAACTAAATTCTCACAGCTTTGTCCACTGGGCTGCAACAGAGAGACCCTCCTTGTTACCTCTCAAATACCCAATATCAACACAAGACCCTGAATAATGTCCACTAGCTCTTTGACTATCAAGTCAAACTTGATATTGACATCATGGTCAAATGGGGCAGAGGAGTCTGATGAAGGATCTTCACTGAACCTTTCTGAATTCCTGTGCAGTTTCTCTCCACACCCTACCTGATATCTCCGAGACTGAGTAAAACATACTTTCGGATCCGATACAAGTACCTAGGCAGAGCCCTTTCTTTGCTTGTTTGAGTCTCTTTCCATCTCACACCTAACTTTTTCCCCTTTCTTTCTGTCTTTCTCTATCTCTCTCCCTCTCTCTCTCTCTCTCTCTTGCTCTATCTATCTTTGGCTGCTTCCAAAATGTGTCTTAATAAATCTTTGGCTGCTTCCAAAATGTGTCTTAATAAATGTAAAAAAAACAAAGAATTGTAGATGCTGGAAATCAGAAACAAAAATAGAAATTGGTAGGTCTGGCAGCATCTGTGGAGAGAAAACTTTGTTCTGATGAAGATTTACTGGACTCAAAACATTAACTTTGCTTTCTCTGCTGAGTTTTTCCGGCAATTTCTGTTTTTGTTTCTTAATAAATCTTCCCTTGTCAAAATCTGGTTTCTGTGAAGTCACCATGAGACCTGTTTTCCGTTTTCCACTTTCCACACAAATTGTCTCTGACAACTTGGAAATTTACACATAATAGTGTTTGAGTTTCACCTATTTGCACCACCTTGCAAAATGAATTATCTTCTGCATTGTTTGGACAATGGCAGCCATTAATTAATAGGAAGGTTCAGTGGCATTAATTACCTTTTCAATGAAATGTCTCGAGAGGTCATTTGTATTTTTATGGCTTGTCCAGACAAGGAAGCTGATTCTCAGTCTTGTGTAAATCTATGTAAATTAGCAGAAAAGAGGCCGATTGAGGGGGGCAAAAAAAGCAGTTAAAGAAACAATAATACTAGGAAATGTACATATTGGGCGCAGAGGATCCCCACTTTGAGGAATACAAGTGCAATTTGGAAATTTTATGTTTTTTCCTTCTGAGTCATTTTGTTTCGAATATCGTTTCCATTCTCTATTTTGTTTTGAAAAGCAGTGTCTATTTTCCATAAATCATGAGGATAATTGTGCAAGAGAGACACCACATAAAGGTAGCATACAGCACATCAGATAATTTAAGCCTGTGGTCAAAATTCGCAAATCAATTTTGATCCGGTGAAACTTGTGATATAAGAGTTTAAGCTAGTCTTCTGAAAGCTGGTTCAATGTGATCTACATCCTGTCATTCTGCACTCAAGCTTCCTTAAGTTAGGGGTCCTGTTTGCATCCACCACAATAATGCACATTTATACGGCTGCGTTTCTGCATTAAAACAGCCCAAAGTACTTGAATCAGACAAAAATAAATTATCAGAAGCAATGAAGGAATCATAACAATTGAATGAAACATATAGGAGAAGATCATAGAGAGCTTATTCCATCTCACCTGAATATAAAACTATGAGACTTTGAAAAGTCTGAGGTTTCCCATTGTTTAGTTTGACTGTTCTCGTCACACGATGTATACCATTCAGAGAGTTAGTAATGGATAACAACTATTTACATATCAATAGATACTAAAGCAAACCAAGATTTGATTTTTTAGATAACACGGTGTAGAGCTGGATGAACACAGCAGGCCAAGCGGCATCAGAGGAGCAGGAAAGCTGACGTTTCGGGTCGAGACCCTTCTTCAGAAAATTCTCCAGCATCGGCAGTTCCTACTATCTCTGTAACAATTTAATTTCTTACTCATGCATCAGTTTTATCTCAGCAGCACATTGTGCTGGCTCTTAATTCAGCACTTGATGTTACAGTATATTACATTCAGGTTGTAGTGCCAAATTACTTTATATTTTCAAAGTACTTCATACTTCCTTGGGACTACTGCAGTTGTGTAAGGTGCCATATAAATGCAGGAAGTTTTTTTAAAATGTGACTAGTTGTCAATATTTGGAATAAAATTTTGGATATTTTGTTTAATCAGAAATAATATGTAGTCGTTTAAGAATCATTAAGGTTCAGTGCTGGGAACAATTGGTTCTTACTGCATCGATGAGCTGAGATAACCTGCTTTATCCCTTATTGATGCGACATTGTGATGAGATAACAAGGTGTAGAGCTGCATGAACACAGCAGGCCAAGCAGCATCAGAGGAGCAGGAAAGCTGACGTTTCAGGCCTAGACCCTTCTTCAGAAATGTGGGAGGGGAAGGGGGTTCTGAAATAAATAGGAAGAGAGGGGGAGGTGGATAGAAGATGGATAAAGGAGAAGATAGGTGGAAAGGAGACAGACAGGTCAAAGAGGCGGGGATGGAGCCAGTAAAAGTGAGCGTAGGTGGGGAGTTAGGGAAGGGATAGGTCAGTCCAGGGAGGACGGACAGGTCAACGGGGCGAGATGAGGCTAGTAGGTAGGAGATGGGGGTGGGGCTTGAGGTGGGAGGCGGGGATAGGTGGGAGGAAGGACAGGTTAGGGAGGCAGGGACAAGCTGGGCTGGTTTTGGGATGCAGTTGGGGGAAGGGAGATTTTGAAGCTTGTGAAGTCCACATTGATACCATTGGGCTGCAGGGTTCCCAAGCGAAATACGAGGTGCTGTTCCTGCAGCCTTCGAGTGGTATCGTTGTGGCACTGCAGGAGGCCCAGGATGGACATGTTGTCTGAGAATGGGAGGGAGAGTTGAAATGGTTCGCAACTGGGAGGTGCAGTTGTTTAGTGTGAACTCATCTGGTTATCAACGTTGTATTCTGCTCGACATTAGACACACGCTGGCCGCTCCTCTGCAATATCTCAGCCACATTGTAATATAGTGCTGTGCAAATATATTTAGAGCAAAGAACAATGCAGAACAGGAACAGGCCCTTTGGCCCTCCATGCCTGCGCCAACACATTTTGCCCTTCCGTATTAAAACTGTCTTCACTTACAGGTTGTGTACCCATCTATTCCCTTCCTACTCATGTATTCATTCACGTGCTTCTTGAATGCTGCTCCTGTGTCTGTTTCTACCACCTCCTCTGCCAGAGCATTCCAGGCATTCACCATCCTTTATGTGAAAAACGAGCCTCTCACATCTCTTTTAAACTTACCCCCTCACACCTTGAACCTGTGTCCCCTTGTAATTGACCCCTCCACCCTGGGAGAAAGCTTCATACTTTCCACTCTATCCATGCCATTCACAAACTTACAAACTTCTATCAGGTTGCCCCACAACCCCTTGCATTCCAGTGAAAATAAACACAGTATGTCCAATCTTTCTTCATACCTAAAATCCCCCATACAAGGCAACATCCTGGTAAACCTTTTCTGTACCCACTCCAAAGCATCTACATCTTTCTGAAGAAGGGTCCCAACCTGAAACATCAACTTTCTTGCTCCTCTGATGCTGCCTGGCCTGTTGTGTTCCTCCAGCTCCACACTCTATTATCTCTGACTCCAGCATCAGCAGTTCTTGCTATCTCTACATCCTTCTGGTAGTGTGGTGACCAGAACTGTGTGCAATATTCCAAGTATGGCCTAACTAAAATTCTATAAAGCTGCAGCATAACTTGTCTATCCTTATACTCAATGTCCCTTCCAATGAAGGCAAGCATGCTATAGCCTTTTTTACTACCTCATATACCTTCGCTGCCACCTTCAGTGATCTGTGGACCTACACACCCAGATCTCTCTGCATATCAATACTCCTAAGGATTGTGCCATTCACTGTATAATTTCTACCTGTTCTTGACCTTCCAAAATGCATCACCTGATATCTGTCCAGATTAAACTCCATTTGCCATTTTTCTGCCCATGTCTCCAACTGATCTATATCTTGCTGTATACTTTGAAAATCCTCCTCACTATCCACAACTCCACCAATCTTTGTATCGTCTGCAAACTTACTAATTAGACCAGCTACGTTTTCCTCCAAATCATTTATGTAGATCACAAACAGCAGAGGTCCCAGCACTGATCCCTGTGGAACACCACTAGTCACAGCCCTCCATTCTGAAAAGCATCCTTCCACCACTACCCTCTGTCTCCTATGACTAAACCAGTTCTGTATCCAGCTTGCCAGCTCACCCCTGATACGTTGTGACTTCACCTTTTATGTGAGTCTACCATGAGGGACCTTGTCAAAGGCTTTACTGAAGTCCATGTAGATAACATCAACCGCTTTTCCCTTATCAATCATCATCACCATCACCTCCTCAAAAAACTCAATTAAGTTAGTGAGACATGACCTCCCCTGCTCAAAACCATGCTGTTATTGCTAATCGGTCAATTTGCTTCTAAATGCTTATAGATCTTGTCCCTGAAAATCTTTCCAATAACTTCCCTACCACTGACGTGAGGCTCACAGGCCTGTAATTTCCTGGATTATACTGTTACCCTTTTTAAACATTGGGTCAACATTAGCTATTCTCTAATCCTCTGAGACCTCACTTGCGGCCAAAGAGAACACAAAGATATCTGTCAATGCTCCAGCAATTTGTTCTCTTGTCTCCCTCAATATTCTGGGATAGATCCCATCAGTGCCCTGAGACTTATCTATCTTAATACTTTTTAAGATGCACAACACCTCTTCCATTTGAATAGCAACTTGGCTTAGAAATTCAACATTCCCTTTCGAGATCATCCTCCACCAATTCCTTGTCTTTGGTGAATACTGATACAAAGTATTTGTTTAAGACCTTACCTACCTCTTCTGGCTCCATACCTACGTTACCCCCTTCGTCCATGAGTAGGCCAACCCTTTCCTTGGCTACCCTCTTGCTTGTTATGTGTATAAAAACCTTTGGGATTCTCCTTAATCTTGTTTGCTAATGATTTTTCATGACCCCTTTTAGCCCTTCTAATTCCTTGCTTAAGTTCTTTCCTACTTTCCTTATATATGTCAAGGGCTTTGTCAGTTCCCATCCTCCTAGATCTTATGTATGCTTCATTTTCTTTTTATTCAATGTCATAACATCCCTGGTCATCCAAGGTTCACGTAATTTACCTAACCTATCCTTCATTTTCGCAGGAATGTGTCGCTCCTGAACTCTTATCAAATGCCATTGAAATACTCTCACATGTCCAATGTGGATTTACCCTCAAATAGCCACCTCCAATCAACAGTCTCTGGTTCCTGCCTAATAATGTTGTAGTTTGCCTTCCCCCAGTTTGACACCTTCATCCGAGGACTGCTGTTATCCCTATCCATGAGTAACTTAAAACTCATGGTATTATGGTCACTACTCCCAAAATGCTCCTCCACTGAAACTTCACTCATCTGGCCGGGCTCATTTCCCAACATTAGGTCCAGTATAACCCTTCCTTGGCTGGACTAATTACATACTGTGTCAAGAAACCCTCCTGAATGGTCCTTACAAATTCTGCTACATCCAAGCCCCTAGCACAAAGTGAGTCCCAGTCAATACAGGAGAAGTTAAAGTCACCCATCACAACAACCCTGCTGTTTTTACATCTTTCTAAAATCTGTCTGCATTTTTCTTGAACTTAGTAATTATTTAATATATTCTTGAAAACACGACTGCCTTTGCCTAATACCATTCTTATTATCCAGTTATTACCAAACTAACTCCTGAAAAGGCTTCTGTTTCCAGTACCAAATGTTTAATTCTAGTGTACCAGGAATATTTAATTCCAAGATCCACCTGTAACCCTCTCCTATTTCTCATCTACATGTGCCCTCAGTTTCATCTTCTGAAACCACCATGTCAGGTTCCACAAGTGCGCTGATGACATCCAACTCTATTTCATCAACATCTCTCTTGATCTTTCCACTCTTTTTGTATTTTAGACTGGTTGTCAAACATCTGACACTGAATTTAGTAAGATCAAGTTTACATTCCAGTGAAGAAACATTAAGAAGTTTTATAAAACAAACAATGTGCAAAGAATGGTAAGAGAGGACATCTTCTGAAACCCTGTAGACACATGCTTCAGTTCTGTATGATCTGACATTGCTAGGACTTAGTTCCTCATGCACAGGCTTGGTAGCTATTATGAGAACAAATATATAGATAACCCATCACTCAACACTGGATAAGTAGAAATTTCATGCAAACACTGGAAAGACCAACATCATGGATTTTCATCCCTGCTACAAATGCCATTCCCTCTCACCCATTTGATTCTTCTCCCTGGAGATTATCACAGGATGAACCAGACTGTTTGCAACCATGCATCCTATTTGACTTTCAGAAAATCTCTACAGTATGTAAGCAGGTCATTTGGCCCACACCGACTCTCCAAAGAGTATCCCACCTAGACCCACACACCTACTCTATCCCTGCATTGCTAATCCACCTAGCCTGCAAGTCCCTGAACACTATAGCCAATTTAGCATGGCTAATCCACCTAACCTGCACATCTTTGGACTGTGGGAGGAAACTGGAGCACCCAGAGGAAACCCACGCAGACATGGGGAGAATGTGCAAACTCCACACAGATAGTCGCCCAAGGCTGGATTCAAACCTGGGTCCCTGAGGCTGTGAGGCAGCAGTGCTAACCACTGAGCCGCCATGCTACTCTTGAGCTGAGCTTCTGAGCCTATCCTCTCTGATACAAACTCATCAAATTCCATGCCTGTTTTATTGCTTGCCTTCACCACTGTGTCTGCCCATTTGTTATAGAATCTTGATCTTTTGTTTTCTCCAGACTTGACTGTCCCATAAATAAAAGCCAAACACTACAGATGCTAGAAATCTAAAACAAATACAGAGGATGCAGCAGCTGTGGCAGATTTTGTGGAGACAGAAACAGAGTTAACATTTCGAGTACAGCATGACCCTGCTTCAGAACTTGACTATTCCGTTGTTTACCTGGTTGGTCTCTCATTTTCCAATCTCTGCAAACTTGAGCTCATCCAAAATCCTTCTGCCCACGGACTAACGCACTTCATTTCCTCTTCAGCTGCCACCCCTGTACTCAGTGACCTCCAGTGTCTCCCAGTTCATTATTGTCATCAACTTAAATTTCTTGCCCTGTGTTCAACTCCCTCCCTCCATCGTTTTGTCTATAATCTGTTACAGCGCTAAAACCTACCTAGATCTCAATGCTCCTCCAATTCTGGCCTCTTGACCATCCTGATTTTCATCACGCCACAATTTGTGAAAATGGCTTCAACTGTCAAAGAACTAAGCTCTGGAAATCCCTCCTTATACTTCTTCACTCCTCTGCTTCACTCATTTCTGTTACAATACTCCTCAAAACCCATCTCTTTAACAGAGCATTTCATCACATTGCCCAATATCTCATTCATTGGCTTGGCACCAATTATTTGTCTATATTCAAGTGGAGAACACTGGGCCATTTTTCAATGTTAAATGTGTTTTAGAAATACAAGTCACTGTTGTTTACCTGCTAGTATCAGAAGAAAGAAGCTTTGATATAAAGGGAAATCATGAGGTGATTTTCTTGTTCCTAACACAGATCCAGTGAACCATACAAGACAGGGCCACATAAATCTCTCACTCCAGGCTGCTGTTCTTCTTTAGGATTTCTATGTATAAATGCACACATGGCATGACGGCTAGCTCTAAACAGTTTAAAAACTGTCATTTTTAAACCTAAATCTGATTTTTATGGTGAATTGAAAGGAGCAATAACATTCAATCATTAATTAAATATATTTTATGAATAAAATCTAGTTAAATTGCTAAATGTCATCTCAATGACAAAAAATATTATATCTTGTTCCAATCTATTATTTGCTGCCGAGCATGCTATTTAATCAGTGATAGTGGAAGTACTCATTTAAGCCTTCAAATTTCCCCAAGAATGCAATTTACCTATTATTTCTGCGTTTGACAAAGTATGATGGGCGAGTTTCGTGTGGAGAATGAACACAAGTATTGAATAAGTGAGCCAAATAACTTGTTATTGGGCTCTCCCTCCACTGTCCTGTTTAACCAAAACACAACACACATAGAAGGTTAAATCAAGCTACACAGTGGTGGGGATGTGTTAAATCAGTGTGACGATCATGACTCTGGTTAGGTATTCAGATCTTTTCATATGTTATTTTATAAATTTTTTTAGGGAAAATGTTCAAAGCACTTTTACCTAGATTGTGAGACAACAAGGTGCAGAGCTGGATGAACACAGCAGGCCAAGCAGCATCATAGGAGCAGAAAGGCTGACATTTCGGACCTAGACCCTTCATCAGATTTATTTGCATGCCATGTTAGATTGACAACTAAATTTCTTCCATTTCATGTTTTGACAAAATGCTCAGTTAGGTTCACCCATTATGGTTTATTGATTGTAAAGGACAGAGACTGTTTCTCTATCTCATGTTATTTTTGGCAACCCTTTTTATGCTTGTTTTCCTGTCTGTGTTGGCTGTGGTAGAGGAAAGAGGCTGAGACAAAACCAATTTGAACATGACAGAAACCGAGTTCCCACACTTTCTGAATCAAAGCTTCTCCAGTTCATGGCATCTCCCCCACCCCACAAATGTCACAAGCTTGGTGAGAGCATTGTTTCTGAGGCAAAAGATTTCAGTGCTTTGCATTCATACTTGGAGAAGTAGGTGATGTTAATTAACTCTTTGAAATTCGAGTTCTTCCAGCTAAATAATGATATAGACATAGCCACTTACTGTGTTGCCACTTCACATTTTCATTTGTTTAGAATTGGTAGCATTGAATGTCCAAGAATCTCAAAAACATTTTACCTCAATTTACGACAGAATTCCAAACTTCCTTTTAAAATACATTGCTGATCTGCCACTGGCAAGGAATTGGCAAAGGACTGGGGTAAGTCTAGCCATCTTTGCAATAGCATCTTATAACAGGACATCAAGGCCTTTCAGCCCACCTACAATCATCCAGCAACTCCTTGAATTTGCATAATATCTCTGATATTGTAAGCCATTTCAAGATTCTTCACAGGAACATTACCCATCTGATTTCATTTCTTTACTGAGACGTAGTAGCAATTGATACAACTGAGTCGCTTGGTAGGCCATTTCAGAGGGCAGTTCAGAATCAACCACATTGCTGTTGATCTGGAGTCACATGTAATCCAGAGCAGGTAAGGATGGCAGATTTCCTTCCCTGAAGGACATGAGTGATTCACTTAAATCATAGTAGAGCTGTACTTACCCAGGCCATTGAGCACTGGAGCCAGCAATCAGCATTAAAACTCGGAGTAACAATCTCTCGCTCTCTCTCTCTCTCTCTTTCAGTTCTAATGCAAATGGCATCTTTGCAATAAAGAAATCATGAGACAAAAAGCTTTACACATTTCCCCGACTCAGAGGAGAAATGTACAGTGATATCTGATTTACAGGATGTTGCCAAATTTGATCCTTCATCACCAGTTAGATAATCTCTGCAGGGTTCATGACAAGACTCAAACATGAGCCATTATGGAAAAGAAAATGGTTCGCAGTCCTAGCACAGTGTGGAGCTGGAGAAGCACAGTAGGCCAGGCAGCATCAGAGCAGCAGGAAAGTTGATGTTTCGGGTCGGGACCCTTCTTCAGAAAGTCCTGACCCAAAACGTTAACTTTCCTGCTCCTCTGATGCTGCCTGGCCTGCTGTGCTCCTCCAGCTCCACACTGTGTTACCTCTGACTCCAGCATCAGCAGTTCTGACTATCTCTGGTTCGCAGTCCTGTTTATTATTACAGCGATATTGAAATTTGGTGTGAATGCCATTGTAAAGGCAAGATTGAGCATTCAATAAAATACCTTTTACACATTG